GGCCAGAACAAGAACTGGAAGAGGCTAACACAGCACCTCTATACAACCTGTGGCAAATGACCCCATCGCCTCTTGCAAACCTGAAAAAACAGACTCCTGAGGTCGGAACGTTCATGAAGTGCGAACTGCTCCGGCAGACTGTGTCATAACAGGTAAGGTAAGATCCTGCACATTAAAAGATTACCGCACAATCATCTGTCGAATCCAAAGGGAAATAGTAGCAGAAAAGGCTGCCAGGCCTGTCTTCCTACTATACGTGAGCACAAAGAGAAAACGGACCTTCTGAAAGGCAGATGACACAGAAAGGTACACATTATTGCATGAACCACATCCATGAAATGCAGATCCACCACCTTAGGAAGTGCCAGTCAAGGACACAGAGAAGGAAGGACAAGTCCTCATTGAAGGGAAAGTCCGACACCATCTTTGAAACAAGAGAAGGGGAGGGTCAAAGCACCCCTTATCCTGTGGAAAAGCAGGTAATGCAGTGTACAGGACAAAGTTGCTAACCCTGAAACCCTCCGAGACAGACTGTGACCAAGAAGGAAACTTTCTGTGCAAGCATAACTAAAGGATTATCCTGAACGCTCTCAAGGGAAGGCCTCAGAAAAGCCAACACTACTAAACTCAGGTACCACGGAGGCAACAGGGAGCTCACCCCTGATGAAAGTGCGCACCATGAATGCGCAGCCCCGGTATGCTGAAAGAAAACAGCCAGAGCAGAGACTGGACCCCCTAAACGTGCCAAATGCTAGTGCTTGCTCCACACTGCAGTGAAGGAAGGCCAACACCCGAGCCTCTGAAAAGAGGAGAGGATGGAACCCTGGTGCTTTGCACCACTGGTTTTCTCCAGGTGCAATGACAAATCTACCGGGAGGTAGACTTACAAGCCGTTAACATAGTCGGAATCACCAAGCCACACAGGCAAAGCCAGCAATGGTAAAGCAGAGTGGAACACTGGTCCCAATATAGAAGATCCCTTGAAGAGGCAGCTGCCAAGGAGCGTCCTCCAGCACTGCAACACGTCGGTGTACCACGGACTGTGAGGCCAGTCTGAAGCCACAGGATAATTGGGACCCTCTCGGCCTCTATCCTGTGGAGTAGACAAGGAATCAGTGGGGCAGAATGGCGTAGATGAGATTGTGCTGATCCCACGGCGCCACAGGCCCAGCAATCATACCACGAACCATAGAACCATTCAGTTGAGACATGACTCCAGAAAGACCCCGTCTCCCAGTGAAGGCATAACCACACCTCTGGGAACTGGGACCGCCCTCCCAATCCAACATCTGGTGGCTGAAATAATCCACTGGCCAGTGTAAGACTCCTGGGGCATGCACTGTGGACAGAGCCAGAATGAACCTTTCGGTCATCCTTGGATGTGAGAAGCCTCCAGCGCCGCTGCCGTCCTTTCTGTGCCCCCTGATGAGTGACATATGCCATCATGCAGACGTTGTCCGATCGAAGCCCAGTCGGCAGACCCAGAAGGCAATCCATCCCATGCATCAGCGACAATCTGCTCACTCGAGCTCCAGAGCAGTGATCTGCAGCCAAGCCACCTCCGGAGTCCAGCTACCCTGAGTTGAATCCAACCCAAAGACTTCGCCCCAGCCTGACATCTGCAGTCCCCAAAAGGAGGAAGGGAGGACCCCCTGTTTTGTAAAACAGTGACCGCAGCCACCAGAGGAGATATGCCCTCACGAACGGTCCCCGGTAAATTCCAATGACCAGGACAGTGGGAAAACGATTTTCCTGGATAAGATTGCCCTCTGCAGTGTTCTCGTATGGAACTGGACATAAAAAAAGCCGTGAACGTAGCCACCATCAAACTGCAGGGAGGGTCACTTAAGAGACCAGAGCTGCTGGATAACCGACAAAAGTTTCTGCAGTTTATCCAATGGGCGTAATCCCTAGGTAAGCTCTGAATTGAGGATCAGCCCCAAATACACCAAGCATTTGGATAAGGTCAACACCGACTTCTGGAGGTTTAGGATCCAACAGAAGTCCTGTAAGGAATGCATGGTGATATCCACACTGCTCACCAGGTATGAGTGGCACTCCGCCCACAGAAGCAGGTTGTTCAGATAGCCAGGTACAGTGAGTCCTCAGGCTTAGCAATGCCAGGACCGGGGCCCAGCCTTGGAAAACAACCAGGGAGTTGAGGGCAGACGAATAATATGGGTCTCCATTAGCAAAACGTAGGAAACAGTACCTGCAGATGGGAAAAGCACAGGTAAAACGTCCTTGATGTCTATAGATGCCAGAACATCCCTCTGGTGAAGGGGAGGCCACCACCGAGCAAATGGATTCCATTTGGAACTTGTGAGCCTGTACAAAGGCATTCTAGTCCCTGAGGTCCAGGATGGGGCAAACACAGTCTTCCTTTGGAATTGTGAACAGGTGGATTAAGAACCCCCTGAACTGCCCCGACTCCGGCACTGGAATATCACTAGCCAAAAAAGCAGATCCCGCACAGCCCTGTACAGGGCCTGCCTGCAGACGATCAGCAAGAACCGCAGGGTGAAGGGGAAGAACCTGCTCGGCGGAAGTGAATGCAAACCCATGTTGCAGCATGAAGGAATGTATTCATGGACCCACTTAGCGGGAATAAGGGAATTCCACCAGACCGGCACCCAGAAAAGGTAATAACCCACCCTAGAACCCGGGGCCCAGGGATGCGTGGTGCCTTCCACAGAGCCTTTGTCGTGGACCCAGGGGAATTAAAAGTCTGCCTATGCGCCATGAAAGTTGGTCCCGTTCTCCTGCGTGGACCTTTTCCCTTCTTGGACTAAGGCAATAAAGAACCCTTGTCATTGAAAGGTTCTTGAAAATATCCTCCAGCTGGTTTCTCCAGAAGGGCAAGTCCTCTAAGCATATTTGGAGGTCTGATCAGTTGAACAGCACTGGAGCCACAGAACTTGCCGCAGCACTACCACCGAAATGAAACGTTTTGAGAGGAGTGGAGCTGTGGCAACGGATGCGTCACAAACGTACTTTAGGCCCTGGACCAAATGGCACACCAGCTTCACATATGCTTGAGGCAAGTATCTAGAAGTCAATGCTTGTCGGGGAACCTTGGCCCAATCTGTTCGATACAGGGATACCAGGGCCAGGACAGGCCGGAATGCAGACCCAGTGATAGTTAACAGGGAGCAGCCACCACCTCTGCCCTGTGATCCGCAGGACCCTTAGAGGAGGGAGATTCCTCACCAGGGTCTTGGTCAGCCAGGATATCGGAGGGCCACCACAGGAGAGGTCCACTTCTCCGGGAGGATCTCCTCAAAGAGGTAATGTGCTGCAAAGCACTTTGGAAAAACAAACAGGCACTTTGGACAACCCCAGGTCTTATTGCAGCATGAAAGCGGCGAATATGCTGACCCCTGTGTGACCACCGCAGCAGAGGACCTGTACTCTTCCTCCAGTGAAGCAGCATCAGGATTCATGATGAAAACGCTCTGGAGCCTGCCTGAGCACAGGGAGCTCTATCCCTGAACGGATGGATCTCCAATGTTCGACCACAGTAACTCAGCCCAGAGGATAGACTGCACATACAGCTCCTTCCCATATCGTCAAATGTCCTAGGGCACAGGCAAGAACAAGCCCCACCTACCTGACCTCAAGGCAGAAGCATAGGGGGACCTGGTACCAGGGATCCCTGATTGAGGCCCCAAGCTCCAGCACGAGCATATGCATGTGTAGAGGGAAGCACAGGCTGCTACCGCAATTATCTGACATTGCTCATCTGCCATAGTCCTTACTAGGAGGAATATAAAGAGTTCATACTGAGCTACTGCCAAGCAGGACACCCAGAAAATGGCTCCGACTGGGACTATACAAAGATGGCTGCCAGCAGTTGGCCCATCACTAGAGGCAGAAACCAGAGAAGTGCCTCAAGGCAATCGGGCAGTGCCCCAGCCCGCCCACAGTCTGTCCCTAGATCCACCCCTCCTAAGGCAGAGCTGGCCTCCTACTGGACAAGGGCAACCAAAATGGTGGACGACATAGCTCTACAAAAATGGGGGGGGGGGGGGCTGTCAGCCAAGAGTAACACTGACACAGACTGAAGGCACCTGGACATATGTGTCCCCTGAGATGTTTAACTCACTGGCCGCCCCTCGCCAGGATGGGGCTGTTGCAGCCAATTTAGTGCATTTCTAAAGGTTCAGCGTGACTTCTCTGGCCAGACTAGGGTAACAACTGGATCTAGATTATCCAACCTGTTGCCCAGATGGGCTGTTGATTAAAGATCTCTGAAGAAATAAACCCAGGAAAAAAACCTAGAGAAACAAAGGTCTCAGCAGGGAGTGAGGTCCTTAATCTTGAATCACTAGGCAGAAATAACTGGGTTACCTGTAGGAAAGAGGGGGTTTGTACCAGCTAGGACTGCCTATAGGTGGTGCTATGTTTTTTTTCTGTCTAGTGTCCTATTCTTGTAGGTGGTGCTATATAACTCAAAGGTCAAGACTAGAAGAGCTGTGTCAATCAATAAACGTAAAAGAAATGTAAATACTTAAATGCCAGTAGCCTGTCCATAGGTTCACATTTACCAGCAATCCCAAGCAACAAATCAACCTGATCAATGCTATTTAGCATACTACAACTCTGTTGAAATAAAAAAAAGACTTCTTAATTTACATTTAGCTTATAAATCCACTACTGCCACTTTACACACAACTTTTAATGTGGGGATCAGGGTGTTAATTCCATAAGTTTGTTCTATGCTACTTCCTCCTACTTGTTGTTACCACCAATTAGAATTAACCCTCAAAGCAAGTCTAAATAGTGATTATGAGAAACAGATTTATTAATACACCAGATTATTTTTATGTGAGAGACAAGTACAGTACGTGTGGTGGGCTTGTTTGGGAACACTTTTCCTGTATTCCAAACATATACGCAAAAGGGATTCCCAGATTTCCAAAGACTGACAAAATAGAGAGGGTAAACTGGTGCAGTATAACTATGCCTATATGTAAAACTGAAAATAATTTGTAGTTTACCATGTCCATTGGTGACATGCTTTTGTGATTTTCCTTTGCGAGGTGTTGAGTGGCATGAGGATGAAGTGTTAGTGGTGGCTATTTTGGTGTCCTCAAGTTCCGCATCATCATCCTCAACATCTTCTTCATCTTGGGAGCTTCCAAAGTAAGCCATGCTAGTTGGCAAGGCGGGGGAACCTGTGTGAAAATTAAAGCCTTGATATCAGTTGTATGCCAAACAGTAGAATTAAAAGATCATATGTAAATTTACAACCACCCTCAAATACAAAAAAGTCATACTGTAACAGTTGTCTGCATGTATGAGGAATATATTTTTACTAATTAACTCACTGCAGTAAAGAAACTGTTGCCTCTCTAGCAGTGTATTCTGTAATACCCTAAAATGTATTCTTCAGTAAACTAGAAAACAAAGCCATGAATATGTGGAACAAAGCCTACTTTTAATGGGTACAGTCTTTCCAGGTTTCAAACTGTCAAGCACATGCACATGGCTATTCTTCCTCCTCAGCATGCCTTTGTTGAGTATACAGTTAGGTCCATATATATTTGGACACAGGCACAATTTTAGTTTTTTTTCCAGGTATTTACCAAAAGTATATTCAAGCTATAGTTCTATAATGGATATGGGCTGAAAGTGTACACTCTCAGGTTTGAGGTTATGTACATCTAAATTAGAGGAAGGGTTTAGGAATTACAGCCCTTAAGAGTAGCCATCCCCCCTTTTTTCAAGGGACCAAAAGTAATTGGACAATTGAATCAAAAGCGGTTTCATGGCCAGGTGTGGGCTACTTCATCAATTAAGCAGGTCAAAGGTCTGGAGTTGATTCTTAGTGTGGTATTTGCATTTGGAATCTATTGCTGTGAACCTACATCATGCTTTCAAAGGAACTGTCCATGCAAGTGAAACAGGCCATTGTAAGGCTTCAAAAACAAAACAAATCCATCAGAGATATAGCAGCAACATTAGGAGTGGCCAAGTCAACAGTTTGGTACATTCTGAGGAGAGAAGAATGCACTGGTGAGCTCAGCAACATAAAAATGCATGGACGTCCACGGAAGACAACAGTGGTGGAAGATCGCAGGATCCTCTCTATGGTAAAGAAAAACCCATTCACAACATTCAGACAAGTGAAGGACACTCTTCAGGAGGTGGGCATATCATTGTCAAAGTCTACAATCAAGAGAAGTCACAAGAGCAAATACAGAGGGTTCACCACATGGTGCAAACCATTCATAAGCCTGAAGAATAGAAAAGCCAGATTAGACTTTGCCAGAGAACATCTAAAAAAGCCAGACCAGTTCAGGAAAAGCAATCTTTGGATGGATGAAACTAAGATTAATCTGTACCAGAATGACTTGCAGAAAAAAGTGTGGATAAGGCTTGGAACAGCTCATGATCCAAAGCACACAACGTCATCTGTAAAACATGGTGGAGGCAGTGTGATGGCATGGACATGCATGGCTTCCAGTGTCATTGGTGTTTATTGATGATGTGACAGAAGCAGCCGGATGAATTCTGCACTGTTTAGAGATATACTGTCAGCCTAGATTCAGCCAAATGCAGCAAAGTCGATTTGACGGTGATTCACAGTACAGATGGTCAATCCAAAACACACTGCAAAAGCAACCCAGGAGCTTTTGAAGGAAAAGAAGTGGAATATTCTGCAATGGCTGAGTCAATCACCTGATCTAAACCCAATCGAGCATGCATTTCACTTGCTGAAGGCAACACTAAAGGCAGAAAGACCCACAACAAAGAATAACTGAAGACAGGTGCAGTTAGAGCCTGGCAAAGCAATCAGAAAGGAGAAAACCCAGTCTTTGGTAATGTCCATGGGTTCAAGACTTCAGGCAGTCATTGCCAGTAAAGGATTCTCAACAAAATAATAAAATTAACATTTTACTTATGATTATATTTATTTGTCCAATTACATGTGAGCCCCTGAAAATGGAGGGACTATGTATAAAAATGGTTGCAGTTCCTAAAACTTGTACTTGATATTTATGTTTAACCCCTTGAATTAAAGCTGAAAGTCTGCACTTCAAATTAATTTGGATTTTTTAATTTATTCTGGTGGCATACAGGGCAAAAAGTATGAAAATTTTGCCCGTGTCCAAATATATATGGACCTAGCTGTATCCAGGGGCGGACTGACCATTTGGAAACTCGGGCACTGCTCGAGGGCCCAGGGTCAGTAGGGGGCCCCATGAGATGCCCCTGGTACCTTTTTCATAGGTTTTTTGAATTTGGGCAAGGACACAGGGGCCCCATGATCCCCTATTGCCCGGGGGCCCCATGAGTTGTCAGTCCGCCCCTGACTGTATCTAAGCTAGGAAAAAATCTGTAGATCCCAAAAATCAGTAGGAGCTCTCTCTGACCTGCATAAACTGGGTAATCTTTCAGCATGTGGTAGTGGAGGGCACAGGCAATGTTTGCGAAGACATCAAGTACTGGACAGCATATTTCATGCTCTTACCTGCTAAGAAAGCAGGTAAATGTGTTTTCTGAGGCCTCAGTTAATCCAGACCATTTTGCTTGCTCATGCATTAAAGCAAAGTATGTAGAGGTATTAAAATGTTTTATCTTACATTTATGACATTTTAATGCACACAAAGAGCCATGTAACTCATGAACAGTCATATCAAATCATCTCCAAAACATACTGAAGTTCATAGAAGAAATTTTATCCAAACACTTCCAACATTTTTTAGTAATTACAGAATATGTTCTTGCTGTTGATTCTTCCAAGCCTTATTTTATCAAGTGTACACTTTACTTGTATGTTCTTTTAATACTTTATTAGAATAGCAGCTACAAGCAAACGCATGACAAATTGTCATTAATACAAAAAAGAACAGTATACAACAGTCAAGTCTGAATCATTGCATCCTTGTTACATTGGTTTTCCAAGATACTTTTTACATGTATGCTTATATTGGCAGGGCTCTCTCCTACTGTATCTTGTTATCGATGACTAAGTGTAGATGCTTCTCAAGAAAATGTTTTATGGGAATTAGAAATAAAAATTGACACTTCACTTATAGGTCACAATGTACATAAGAAATTGAAAAAGATGCATCAAAACTGCAGCAGGTCCCCAGTGAAAAAAAATAAAACATTAAAGCCGGACATACATGGAACGACATTCAACCAGTTCAACAGGGACCAGCCAAATTTCAATCGATGTATGGGCAGGCTGATTGTTGTATCAGCAGCCTGTCAGATTTTTCTTACTATTCCAGCCAGTGGCTATAGCCACTAGCAGTAATCACTGTATTCTGCTTTCTGCTGGCCGGAAAGCCTAACCCCCCCCCTCCTCCAGAGATTAATCAGAAGGTGGAAGGAAAGAAAACTGCTCGATTCCCTCATCAACACAGTCAGTGTCAATGGGGGAATGTCTCCCACAGCGATATTGTGTTCTTCGCAGCTGGCAGAATACAATGATTGCTGCTAGCGGCTGTAGCTGCTGGCAGTAAACACATGCAGAAAAATCTGACAGGCTGGATGTACCCAAGTCAACTGATGGTCCCTGCTGAACTGGCCGAATTTTGTTCCATTCAGTGTTGGTTTTTTTTCTCCACTGGGAATTTTCCGCATCACTACTGTATTCTGTCTTTGAGGGGGGGGGGGGGCACGGAAAGCCTTCCCAGTTTGCAGGAAAATGATTACTGCTAGCGGCTATAGCCACCGGCAGCAATTGAAGGCAGAAAAAACTGACAGGCTGGTTGTACCCAAGCTGATCGATGGATTGGCTTGGGTACAATCAGCATGCCCATACCTGGATCGTAATTTGGCCGGTCTTTGTTGAACCAGCTGAATTTCAATCCGTGTATGGCTGATTTAAGATTAATTTGAGAACTGCAAGAGCCAACAAAATATTGCACACAAATGCATGAGATCAGCGTATCTGTGCCGCCCACAAATGGCAGGCAAAGCTGAAAGGTTGCTATGGACAGCACAAACACTTTGTGGCTCAAGTCCTGTCTAAGGAGGAGGACAGACACTCACTGCTACCACATTCTCCTTTTGAAATGTTGCCAACCTTACCAGATATAAGCTACTATTTCTTTAAAGAAGGAATTCATGTAACAGCACAGCTAACAGGATTACCATTGCTGCCTTCGTGGATGGTAGTAATTGAAAGTAAGACAACAGAACTGTAATAGCCCTGAACAATGAGGACACATACGCAAGCTAATAAGGAGAACAAATGCAATTCATATCCCTGGTGACCCTCCTGCCATTCTCTTCTGTGCCAGGAATTGCTCACGCGGGCACTCAGAATGCCCTAGACAAATACAGAGCTGCATGTGAATGGCTTTTTGTGCTCAATCAATATTTCATTCATGTGAGGCAGGGATCCTTTTTCCACCTTTTTACATCCTGCACAGTGAATATGTATTGGCACACGCTCCGATATCATGTTTTTTGGCACTTCTGTTATGATTCTGGACCTTGACATATTAATTAAACATAAATTAATAAAGTAAAAAATAAGTATTTTGTTTTTTACAATCTTCATAAAATCATTAGACAGCATTAAATTCAAAAACTAAGAACTCACATACAATAATTATAATTTACAACATGACAATACAGTATTGGTGATTACTGTGGAAAGATGTCTTCAAAAACAAACCCATTCCAGGTGTTAATAACTGGCAGCAATAAAAGTCTTGGGGGAAGGGGGGGGGGGGGTTATGTATCATAAGTGCATGGTGTACAACCTGTCATTATTTAGGGTCACACTATTTGACTGGCAGACTAAAGGGGATGGTGAGGGTCATTCAAATTTAATTTACACAACACACAGGTAAACTGTTTCTTTAGCACATGGCTGAATGCAGGGACTCATTTTTATGCATTTTCTCTAGTTCTATTACATCACCAATCAAGACAGCTAGTAGGAATTAAAATGGTAGTAAACTCTTTTTGTATACCTTTACCTTCAGGTTATAATAACGCTTACCTGTAGATAAAATGAATATCTCCTAAACACCATTTAGGAGATATTCGCTCTTTTTGATAGCCGGCACATGCCATCAGAGCCTTCAGAGCACTGGGGCCCGGGACCCCCGCATGCATGTGAGGGAGAGATGTCATCGTGGCTCGGCCAGTCAGGTGGCTCGTGAGCCCGGAAGGAAAATCGGGTGAAGATGGAAGCCTCTGCAGCGGT